GACAGAGTGAGACTTTGTCTCCAAAAAAAAAAAAAAAAATAGCTACTGGAAATTTTCTGAAATATATTAATGATAGCAATAAATAATTTTAAGAAGCATAACAATCCAGGCAGGAAAAATGAAAAGAAACTGACATCTGTATGCATCATGGTGAAACTGTAGAAAAACAAAGGTAATGAGAAAAATATTATGAGCAATCAGAAAAGAGCAGTTATATTAACAGGTGATTTGATTGTAAGAGTGGAAAACAGAAGACAGTGTGATGATATTTTTGACATGCTGACTGAAAATGACTACCAACTAAAAATTCTATATTCAAAGAGAATATATATTTCTAGGATGAGGGAGAAATAGAGATTTTTTTCAAAATAAGCAGACTACGAGATAGATTGTCCCTGCAAGACCCTTAGCACAGGAATTTCTCAGAATATATTTCAAGCAGAAGAAAAAGTGATCCTAGAAAGCAAGTCCAAGGTTCATGGAGAAATAAATAGCAAAGAATGCACCAAATATTAGGCAAATGTAAACAAACATTGACTCCATAAAAGAGAATAATAATGTCTAGTGGTATTTAAAAAATTAAAACACCAGATGGTAATAACATATACATTGAGAAAGGGATAAATTGATTAAAAATATTCTAAGGTAATATCTTAGTAGAAGGTAAAGGATCTCACACTAGCTTTATTTGTTGATAAGTACTAATGCTGTAATGCTAAGTTAACTATACTAACAGAACAGAAACAAAGTGCATCCTCCCAAACTAGTAAAGAAAAAAATGGAATGATAAAAATATTAAAGGACAGAAAAAGCAATAAACACTTAGTGAAAGAAACAAGAAACAAATGAAACATACACTAGAATTCCCTTTATATGAATTAAAAAACAACTAAATTATATTTTTAAGGTATATAGCTATAGGTGGGAAAATAATGAAAGGCAACAAAATAATGACTAACACGCAAGTTCGTGGCTAACTCCAGAGAAGGGAAGAGGCTATGATGACAAAGGGACAACTGATAGGGGTTGGGGCTTCTAAAGGGCTGGCAGGGTCTATACCTCGTCCTGGGTGGTGCTTATGTAGGTGATTGATTAATACCTATTAAAAATACACATAGATGTTTTATACATTTTACTTAAAATGGTTTCTGCATTATTTTATAATATTTTGAAGATTTTAAGTGAGTTATACATAAAAATACATTTAAAAATACGAGAATACAAACACCATCCTTTCCTTCATAATTCAGGAAATCTGAATCTAGGGACATGAGTGGTTTTCCTCCTCACTGGAGGACCAGTCAGTCCAGATCCACTTGCCCTGATGAGCAAAAGAGAGAGTATGTTAGGCAAATAAGGGGGACAGCTTCCTTTTTGGTAAAGAGTGCCTTTTATTCTGATAATTTTATCCTTTCTGTATTTTGGATTCGTCATTTTATAATGTCCTTTCTGTTATAAAATGCTGATGATAGTAGGTGGTCAGTTATGATTCAATGACCTTTTTATAAAACAAGAACAGAATAGGTCATTCTTCCTTCTCTATTGCTGACTCACTGAGAAACCAATGAATCTCTGTGAAAATAAGGAAAGTGATTCTGTGCTTATTTGCACAGTAAGGCTGCTTTTGATAAAAATGTGACTTGGATATTGTTATGGATTGAATGTGTTCCTCTAAAATTCCTATGTTGAAACCTTAAACCCCAGTGTGATGCCATTAGGAGGCAGGGCCTTTGGGAGGTAATTAGATCATAAAGGTGGAGCCCTCATGAATGGGATTAGTGGCCTTATGTGAAAAGACATGAACGTCTGCTCTCTCATTTTCTGCCCTCTGCCATGTGAGGACACAGTGAGAAGACAGGACAGATGTAAACGAGGAAGCAGGACCTCAGCAGACACCAGATCCACCTGTGCCTCCATCGTGGACTTCCCAGCCTCCAAAACTGGGCGAAATGCACGTGTGTGGTTTAAGTCACCCAGCCTTTGGTACTTTGATATAGCAGTCCTAACTAAGACAGATATGAACTGGAAGAACTTCAGTGAGAAAGAAAAGTAGACAAACACAGAATGTGGGTCAGGCACAATACTTTGTAACATGCTGTATTAAATGTGAAAACAGTAAGGGTAAGAACCAAAGGAAGAAGATGGGGGCACTGGGATACTTCGTATGGACATTCAGGAGGTTAAAATCTAGAACCCTAAATGGATGGATGGCTTTATTTTCAGTATTAGTCATTGCTCTGAGACGGTATTTAATGCTACTTCTGGCTACATTCTTTTGGAGGTCATGCATAATGGAGTTTCTTGAATTAGTATATTCTCTCTTCTATAAATGTCTGAATCAGGTCAAGTACAAAACTAATGTAATAATATAATTCCACTGTATATTGTGTACTACAGAATATGCTATATATCTATATTTAATAGTATATGATATAATAAAGCACAATTTTTTTGGTCGTTATGTATTTGTTTTTACTAATTAATTTCATTATTTACTAATTCTGTTGGCAGGTATCAGTATGCCCATTTCACAGGTAAGGATTCTGAAGCTCAAAGAAGTGAGTAATGTTACCAGCTTCTAAGTGGTAAAAATAGAATTACATTCCCTAGAGTCCAACTTCAATACCGCTCTGGCTGGTTTTGTTGCCTTGTCTCACGGCTGCATTAACACTTAAAGATCATTTGTATAAGGACTAAAATACCATTTATTCTTTTAAATCACATTCTGCACTCACTCAGGCAGCTTGTTCTGACCCCTAGGAGGAAGGGGCAGACATTTTTCCAGAAGCACAATGAACAACACCAGAACAAGTCTAAGGGGGTGCAAGAGAAATTCAGAAACTTGAGCATAAATCTCTTTCAAAATAAAACCACAGCATCTTTAATCAAGGCCTGGCAATGGTTGTATCGCTTCTCTAAGACTGGAACTGGTAAATGTGGGCTATCCCACTAGACCTTTAATACTGGGTTAGAAATGGATCCAAGAAGTTGACTAGCAAGTCAATTCATGCAGCACAAACATGAATCTGTAATTCTCTTACCCATTACCACAAAACACAGTTTGTTGCTGCTCTGAATTGACTTTGAAGACAATGAGTGCCTGGTAGAAACCATAAAAGCATTAAAAATGGGGCCAGAAGTAATAAATAAGGACTGCCAGAAAAATGTTAACAAGTTTCTTCTACAAGTCAAGTCTATTGTCAATTTACAACAGTTCTGAAGGTTGAACAAGAGGCATGCAATTTGTTAGCTAACTTGCAAGGTTTGCCTGCAATCAGAAAGGGAGTTTTCTTTCACCTGTATAAAATTTAACAGCTGATAATTTTATCTCCTGGTATAAAAAGATTAAAATAATAAAATAAAAATAAACCAAATGCTTTAAAATATGGAATCTTATCTCTCCCATTATCCCACACATTTGCGTAAACTCTCTTCCCAACGGAAATCTTCTCACTCAGCAGGGGAAGATCATCTTTTCAGCAGCCAAACTCAGCAAAGCCAGCGACTTTCCTCCCCTCCTGACTTCCCCCTTAGAGCTCATTCAAAGGGAAGACAAAGGACCTGCAAGTGGATGAAAGTTGTTTTGTGCCTGGCCCTTAGGGGTACTTTATTTTCCTTAAAAAGATTATCTCAACCTTACTTTAGCCAAAAATAAAAACAAAACAAAACAAAAAACCCTAAAAAAATTTCTGAGGCAGTTTAAATTAAAAATACAAAGGACTGAGATATATTTTAAATTTATTCATAATTAGTTTACAGATCGGACAGCACTGAGACTCCAAAATCATCAAGCCACTTGGGGATAAAGGCTACTGCGGTCATCAGAAGCAAGCCAAATGCTACCTTTTGTTCTTACTAAAATCTTCTTTTAAGAAAAATCTCCTAGCAAATGATTTTCTATTTTCTATTTAAAGAGGATTACATAGCAAACACAACTAGTGGCTGGAGAGCAAAGAACTTCCCATCGTTTTATTACCTGCCAAATATAAATTAGTTCATTGTGGGTAATTCCTGCCAGGCGACCCCTTTCCTTGTCATCCATCAGGCCGATGGGCTGTGGCAGGTTAGTTCCTGCCCGGAGTCCTTCCTAATCAGGAGGCTGTCAGATATGTTGCCTGCCCACTGTCTCCTACATCTTGTGGCAGCTCTTGTGTTTGGGCAGCAAGGTTTTGAGCTTGAATTGCCCCAGTAACTGGCTTCGAATTGCTCTTACTTACTATCACTGTCAAATCTTTGTAAGTATACGTGAGGCCCTCTTCCAGGTACAATGGAGAAACCCTACAAATTTCACTTTGTAATAACTACAGGATACAGAAATTGTATTAGCTCCATTAGATGGGGTCATAGAAAAATGCAAAAAGGTTAGCTGGATATAGTGAACGTCACAGTTAGACTAAGATAAAAAATCTCTTGGCTAATTTAGAGTGTTTCCTCTTTGGTAATACCCTATATTAAGGTGCCATTTATAAACAGTTTATTATTATTTATTAATGTCTGAAGCACTTTATAGCATGCTAGATAACAACTTAAATTCATGTATTAAAGATGCACATACATGGTTTAATACAATTTACGTCTTATAATATTCTTTAAAACAGCTTCCCATAGTATCATCCGTTAAGCATTTATTACTAATGCATTTTATAACATACTTTATAATACATTATTTGAGCAAGTAGCTGCATTTAGTGATCATTTCATAAATAAGAATAAGGCATTTATAAATGGCACCTTAATTTAAAGTGTTACCTTCGCATTACTACATAGCCGCTCACCATACATCTCATTTTGTGATTATTCTCCAAATGCACCACTTAATAAAACAGACACTAAGTTCTATTTTCCCTTCATCTGATTAAAAGTTTATTTAGTCATTTTCTCCATCTGTTTTCAGATGTTGGTAGCTTGGAGGTTTTAGTGTGATTTCTGATAAAACCAAATTTTTAATCCTACAATATTTCTGAAAAGATGTTTAACAATAGAAACAGAGAATTACTTACCATATTGGACAGAGCCTGTTGCTTGGATTCTTTGTAAAATTCAATTTTTCGACTAGAAAGAACAATCCAGGAAGTAGACCAGTTTTTCCTTAGAAAAAAAATAAAAAGGAAAGAAAGCATTATCAGTTGAAGAAATCATTTATAGATACAGTATGAGCAACATTTGGAATGAGTAGAGACCATCTTTATTTTTAACAGTCTTCCTAAAAGTCTCCTCTTTATTAAAATCTATAGGTGGTATGGAATTTGGGTAATAATAAAGACATTCTGGAATTATTTAAAAGCATAGCATTTATAGTAAGAGTTTCTTAATTTATAGATCCACCTAAAATCTTTTTCAACTACCAAAAATCCATTTTTTGTGTATCCATGTGCATCCTTCCCATAAAAAGTTTATGTTTTTACAGCAAACCAAAAATAGCAAAGTATAAATAGGAATCAGAACCCTTTCCTTCCTTCATTATTTCTTCTCTTCATTGGTTTAGTGTATTTCAGTCTTAAAAACTAACCAGCCTCATGTGTCATTGCTTAATTCAAAATATTTTCATAATGTAGAATCTTACTAGAAATCAAAGAAATGCAAATAAAAATAGTGACATGCTTTTTCCCTCTTTGTACATCAAATTGTCAAGGAATAAAAGAACTAACATCTGATAACATCCAGGGATAATCAGGGTGTAGGAAATAGATTCTCTCATACACTATTGGTAGGAATGCAGACTGTTGCTTCCTTTCTAGAGTGTAATTTGAAAATGTGCTTTTTAAAAAATCCCTAAAAATGTGTATATCTTTTGGCTAAACATGTCCATTCCTATGAATTTAAATTTATTCTAGAGAAATAGTCTCACAAGTTGCTGAGTCTGTGTGCATAGAAATTAATTGCATCATTATTTGTTAATTCCATACATAAAGTATATAAAAAGATTGGTTAAATAAATTGCATATAATACACCCTTATAACAGAATAATGAACCCTATGCTGTAGAAGAATACTGATGTAGGAATGTTTTAATGCAGACCATAATACATGTAGTTTATAACTGTGCTGTGCTATTTACCTAGGACTTTCTTCACCCATACATTCCCTTCTGATTATTAATTCCATTAATTAGAAGTCAAAACATTGCTTTGTCATATGTGCCATCCATGACTTCCTCTCATATCACTTATTATAAATTTAAAAATATTTTTCATAAATTTCACCTCTATCCTCCATTAAGAAATGAGCCTTGAGATGTTAGAAATCAGTTCATCTCTACAAAGGTATCCCCAATGCTTAGCATGGTGCCTTGGACAGAATAGACACAAAATACATATGTATTGGGTCAATGACTGAACTTTGGCCTGGAAAAAAGTCTTGATATGACAATAATTAAATCAAGTGGTAAAATCACGGCTTTTGAGTTTCGTTTGTATTCCTTGGTGTTTACCAAGTTTTCTGCATTGAGCACGTATCGCTTTTGTAGTTAAAATGTGTATATGTTCATGTCATGAAGGCACTCTTTTGTAGATAGTAAAGATATTAAGGAGACTAATATCTATGAGTTTCTACCCATTAGAGTGTATTATTGCAGTTTGCTTCGGCTTAACATTCACTTCAAAATAGTTGATTTCATTTTACAAAAGTGATTTTTTTAAAAAAGTTTATGGAAAGACTTTATTCGGGTCAATAGAAAACCACACCAAAATATTTTTAAATGACTATTGAAGATCTTTGTGTAACTTATTTCCACTTGCCTTTTAGAAACTAAGAGCTTGATTGAAAGGACAGCTTTGATTCAGTAAGGTTAATATTTACAAAAAGAATTAGGTTGCTCTTATATGCCTGGAGCTTTCTTAATGATACACCATTGTGTTAAAAAAGAACAGAAAAAGCAGACACACAAGAAGCACAATGTGTATTTTTCAACATCCAAATACAAACACTGTGTTCTTGGACCCACTTGTCTTTAAATGAAGAGTCTCAATTTTTCAATTAAATGATGAAAATATGAAAAAAACAAAACCCAGAAAGAAAACCACACAGACTTTTCCTTCTGCCCTAGTGTCCATTTCTCTTTTTAGGTACCAGCAGCAGAAGAGTGAATTGAAGCAGCAATAGCCTTCTCTTCATTCAGGTCATAATGATAGATGACCTCAAACAGGAAAAGAGAAACATTATTAGAAGTCTAGTCTGGGCATCTTTTAACACCACCCTTGTTTTGACCATATGTGGTCAGGGAGTACAGAACACCCTCACACATGAAGAATCCATATTTAACCTACCTATTATACTTCCCACTATATATTTCATATTCTCACAAGGAGATACTATACCTTATTTGCATCCTATCTATAGTAAGTCCTGGATAAATGGCTCTGATTTGAATCTGTTTCAGATGTTGATCATTTATAGAATTTGCTGGCAAAACTCTCCCCATCCTTAAACTTGGAAATGGAACTGGTTAGAGTTAAAGTTGCATGAAACACAATTATCTCATTGTTCTTTATTAGGACTTTGAACTGCTGTGAACTGCGTCCCTGTTAGGCGAACTGGATGAAAAAACTGAAGAGGGTAAGAACTGCAGGTCTCGAAACCTTAGCAATATGACTTGCTCTGACACCTTATGTACAGTGCTACTTTGTTTTGAAATTATAAACTATAAACATGGTCTTTATCTTCTCTGAATAAAAGTGAAAGCTGAGCGTTATTGCTTGAAAAGAATTTCATTTCAAAACGAAGAATAATAATGCTGCTGACAACCTTTTAGATGTCCTCTTTCATCTCATTTTTTCCCGTGATTTCTTTTAAAATAATAATTAGCATAAATTATTTAGAATATCTAGCATAAATCTAATCACCTAGTTTATGCTTAGCTTCATACACAAAAATGATGAAAGTACTAACATCTCTATTTACTAATATGAAAAACGAGGCTCAAAGGGTAACTTACGGTCTTACACTTAGATTTACAGTTAAACCCTGTTTCTCTAGCTCCAAAACCTATAATCTGTTCATTACTTTATGCTGTCTGGTTTTTTTTAATCCAAATTTTTTTATTTACTTTTTAAGGCCTCAATACACATTTTTGAATAACTGAAAGACATGAGTTTACACCTATCTGCCAATGAAAAACAGAATTGTGTACAGAATTTGCAAAGCACAGTGCAGAATAAAAATTCAGCATTCTGTGTCCAAAAATTATGAAGAATTTTAAGACAGTAACAATCTAGCATTAAATCAAGGGCAGACTCCTTCTGAGCATGGGGCCCTGAACGCACACCAGTGAAGGAAGCCCTAACTACATTATGACTTTACAACAATGACCAAAGAATAATTTCTTTTTTATATACTGTCTTTTTTTGTAAAATTATACTTTAAGTTCTAGGGTACATGTGCAGAACGTGCAGTTTTGTTACATAGGTACACACATGCCATGGTGGTTTGCTGTACTCATCAACTCATCATATACATTAGGTATTTCTCCTAATGCTATTCCACTCCCAGCCCCCGACCCCCCAACAGGCCCCAGTGTGTGATGTTCCCCTCCCTGCATCCATGTGTTCTCATTGTTCAACTCCCACTTATGACTGATAACATGCGGTGTTTGGTTTTCTGTTCTTGTGTTAGTTTGCTGAGAATGATGGTTTCCAGCTTCATTCATGTCCCTGCAAAGGACATGAACTCATCCTTTTTTATGGCTGCATAGTATTCCATGGTGTATATGTGCCACATTTTCTTTATCCAGTCTATCATTGATAGACATTTGGGTTGGTTCCAAGTCTTTGCTATTATGAATAGTGCCATAATAAACATACGTGTGCATGTGTCTTTATAGCAGAATGACTTACAATTCTTTGGGTACATATCCAGGATTAAGCAGTTCTACCTTCATTAAGGATATTTTCAAAGTCAGATTTTAATGTAGTTTTGGTTGAAATCCTCAAATGATAGAAGCTAGCGTGCATAGTGTGAGACAAGATATCAGCTATCCAGGCTCTGTTATTAACTACTTTATCTGATCCTTATTAGAAAGACTGAACAAAGACCCACCATTCCCAAGCTCTCTTACCCTAGAAGTTGCACTGATTCAAAAGAATAAGATGATGTATCATTTGACTCCTCATTAGAAGACAGAAACAGGTGTGTGTTCCTAACTGGGTGGCATCTCTGTATCTTTTCTGCCAGGGAATATTCTGGTCTATGATTAGCAGACTCATCTGCACTCAGCAAAGAATATAAACCCAGAAAGGGAGTCAGCGGACTGTAGTCTAGGAGTAGCTGAGGGTTTACCTCATGAGAACAACTTTTCACTGTGGCTTAGGTCTGAACCTTCCTCTCTGATCAAAGTACTCTAGAAACTTGACCATTATCCTTATAATATCTGTCCAGTCTATTTCCCATTCTGACATGTCTGACCCATTGTGATGCCTATAGTTCTCTGCACATCAGTGGAATAGTTTTTCACCGAATTACTCTAACATGGTGACTCTCTTGTAAGGCATTGTCAGCTCTGGAGTGTGCAAAGGATCACTTGGCAAGGTTTTCCTTGACTTAAGGATTTGATATTTTCCATATGCAACCAAATCACTATATATGACTCTTACTCAATATATTAGGTGACATCTCAGGAAGTGGGCAACTCATACAAGCTTAAAAGCCTTAGCCAGGATAGGTGAGTCCAGCAGCTTCTGATGAAACTTTGCAAATAGACTATTTTCTAGGATAAACACAGTTTTCACACTAGGAAATCCCTCTCCGCCCCAAGCTCCCACAAAGAGGTAGAAACCACCTCTAACCTCTTAGAGCATTTCCAGTACTGGGCATACTATTTGACATTTAGTAGGTGATAATTAAAGATTTTTTGAGTAAAAGAGCATATGGCCTTTCAAATTTCAGGAGGGTCACACATCTAGATGTTTTCTGCTCTGTGTTTGCTGTTCTTCATTAACGAGGACTAAAAAGTCTCATTTCCTTTCTCTGTTCTTTAGTTTCTTGGTGCTTTAAAACAGTATTCTTAGCATTATTTTTTCTTAACTATCGAACACTTCTAATATAGGATATTGTTTCCTAATTTATGCTTCTAGTGGCCAATACCTGAGCTTTCT